GAATCATCGCATTTATAAAACAATGTTATGTCAAACTGACGTACGACGTATAAAGCCGAGGTGTACATAATCTGTTTAATTTCGCCAATCCATAGCTATATATTTCTTGAGTTTTTATGTACAAAGTTTGGAAAGGTGAGGGTATTAGTACGACACGATAAGGTGCTTCTGCATCGCAGCCACTCTGACCTTGAACGTTTCTGCAGTGCCCAGTAGCCAGATTTTATACAGTATTAAAAAAAAATCGCGCGGAGCTTCACATACAGTGTTATATAGTATCACATGGAGCATCCCATATTCATTATAAGTCAAAGTACATTGTTGGTCACGCCAAATACCTCAGCAACTACTTTTTATCTCACTCGACGCCTAAATGTGTCATAAGTTATTACATTATTTTCAATCGCATTACCAATCTTGTTGTTGTACGGACTATAGAGTCTCGTTGTCAAGAACTGATATGCAAGACAATTCTATGCATCCAAAATACCAAATATTGCCACATACCTGCTCGCGTCACGAGTAAGTGTGCTTGACTAGCATTTTATGTATGTTTCTTTTATAATCATGAAAAGTATGGATATGATAGCAGTTAGATGTTTGTTGATAAGCAATACGGTAAAAATATTGGTAGCGGGGAGTACTTTGATGGCAGTTCGAATACTGCAACGCGATAAACAAATTTGATGATCTATTGGCCAAGCCGAATCATTTGATTTGCCGTGATGTTATATCTTATTGCCAAATATATCATGTGTTTTTCGCCTGCACTTCGACACTCATCTCGTAAATATATATTGAAGGTAATGTTAATATGAGCACGCAATGGGTGTCCGCGTGTGAAAGGTCACATACACCGGTGCTGTAGCAAACCGAATAATAAGCTAGTAAACATAAGCAAATTATAAGATCTCGTAGCTTTCCAGCATGAATGGAAGCTATATATAAAACCCACGAATATTCCACCAGTTTTTGTGATGGACATGTCAGATCAATAGAATTCTTCTGCCAGATATAATATTGTATTTTTTATAGCAACGTCGCTTTAACACTTCGTAAGCACCCTTTTAATATTCAACGTGGAATTGGCACAACTTTTGTGCTGTCATTTTATCGCGACGTAAGTCGAGTGATTAGACAAATACTGCAAACGATCCGACTACGTTTTGCAAGAAGGGAAACACTTGTCGAATTCGACGGTGCACTTAGAGTTGCCAAGGATTACGCGCTAGCGTATCATTGCATCTTTTTGAATGCAGTCTATGCTTGACAAAGCAAATGCGCGAATAAAAGTGCAGCAAATATATGTAACAAGGCGTTTGAGAAGGCAACGAAGCCGTGCACAATTTTATTCTGTGAGTGAGAGACCCCAACTAATTCACGTGCATCTTTTCTATATTTTACAACATAGCGACATTATCGCAACGCTCTACTTCAAGTGCTTTCATAATAGGTGAACATCGAAAAATATATGATTACTTTGTAATTCCTTTTCTTGCATTCCGTATATGTATCGACGCGGCATACTTGTTCTTAATGAAGAATTTGGATCAATTAAATATGCTCGTTTTGGTGAAACACGTCAGCGTTATTGACTAAACTTGCAATATAATTCAAAGTCCTCAATGCATAAAAAGGCAGACAGGCTGCAGCATAAAATGGGGAGCTTTAGATGATGCAACAGGTGTATTTTTCAAGTTACACGAAGATAAGCGACCCTTGCTATCGCGTCCTTCGTAACTCTGGGATATCATATGCCAAAGATCTGGCTTTTCTAAACAGCGGCGACGTTCTCCGTCGTTCACATCATTATAAACAAAGACTTGCACATAGGCCAAGACCATATAAAATTCTATATTTATTGTTCAATGCTCGTGTTTTTGTTATACCTTTTGGTCGGTAGCTGTCATGAAGGGCACGAGCGTTTGCGACAAAGCAGGTAAAAGTTATCAGCGAGTAAGTTTGGTTAGATCCGCTTTCTCTAGAACTTTGCTGGAGTTTCGGCCACATACCTTGGCATTGCATTGATTACGTAACTAGTCGTAAGAAACGGAAGTTGGCGATTTGCAAGGCATTCGATGCTACAGGTATCCTAGCTCCGACCGAATTGCAAGCTTCGTGTTACAGAACGATAACTGGCGGCGCTCGTAAAATATCCGTGAAGCAACGTATAGCTCGTATTTTTGGTTCGACGATAGATGGATAGGCGTTGTACACTGAGCAATGCGTTTAAATGCAAGCTGAATAATCAACTGCGACGTGAACAATGTGAAGAGCAAGTGATGTCACTACAGGTAGTTTTGAACGCGTCAACTCTAATGTCCGTTTGGGCCGATCGCCAAACTACTGGACGCGCGTTTTGGCGAGGAATGACAAGCAACTGGAGTACGCAGACAATTGGCGATCGGTGCTTACGAGTCTATCAACCAGTATTGAAGTCTTAAAAATGGAATGTCAGTTGCGTATTTCACTTGCTCATCAAACAACACAACACTTACGTGGATCTGTATCGAGCTCGACATGCCGTAGAAATGTGCGACTTTTCGAATGAACGCCATGTAGCTGCTAGCCCAAAACGCGCATAAGCAAGCAAAAGTGGACTAAACTGGGAGACAAAGCGCACGCACCAGTTGCTTACAACGAGTACACATGCCGCGGTATCAGGCTCGAACTCAGCCGGATGTGTGACCGGGCTATGTATGATGAGAAGAATACACACGTATATTAGCAGTCGACCAGCAAAGTTCTGTTAGTACGTTACGCACCAAAACGATCGGCAGCAGCAACAGAGACTGACACCCATCCGAAAGCACGAATGGAAAAGGGCGACGACCGCAACTGGAAGCAGCAGGATAAGCATGACATTGATCTAGGGCAAAAATACGTCACATGAGTAGACCAATCGCTCATAATTGCCGAGAAGTAAACGTCGATGGATGCACAACATTTCGTTCGTACGTGTTTGCGATAGCGTACACCGACCGCCGGGAAGAAGTGTAAACCAATGATAGTAAACAACGCCAGTTGTGGCAGCATCAGTTGCAACGGTCCAGCGACGTCGCTGGTGCGAGACATCTCGGCTACGGATTCCCAACCGCAGGCTGCCAGGCTTATCTACAGCAGCACGAGTCAATGAGTGCATCAAAACGAAGCCATACTCGAACATTTCTTTCTTTGCATATACCGTCATCATCCGAACGTGAAATCGTGAAAGCACCTGGTTGCACTGGACGCTCGCTTTTCGAATGCGAGATTGGACCATGCACCATGCCTTGGACATCGTTCCCACGGCTCTTCTTCTTCTTCTTTTCTTTTCTTCTAGTAGATTTGAAATGCAAATGTGCTTAAACAACTTCGTCTTCTTATTCAGGTGATCGCTCCTTCTCACTACAATCAGCTCCATGACTACGAAGTATCGTTAGCCACGATTCTTGTCAAATAAATGACGCGTTCATTACTGGCACGAATCGATGTGCTTTACTCAATATTGTCAATGGAACATATCGTACGAAATCTGCAACGTACAGTGGTGCTCGAAAACAGTTCAAGTGTTCGCTGAAGGGTAAGGTCCAAGCCTAAATGCTTAGTAGCCTTGCAAAGCAAGTTCGTTGATTGCTTATATGACAACCAATAGATTGCGAATGGACAGGGCAACATGCATACCCCACTTCTAGGCCCGTCATCATCTTCTTTTAGAACGAGTCACCTGTGCCGAGGGGATTTCCAAAGTGGCCCCGTCATAATTCTACTGACCGCATATGACGAACCTCGTTGTTGCTGGGGTGTCTTCGACCGGGGGACTCCACCGCTTGCAGGCTCCTCTTATTGTCCTACAATCGTGAGTCGATTAGTCAAGACATAGCCTTTAGTTAAACCGGTCACGTAACCGTCTCCATAGCGAGCTTACTGACTTCGATTGGATGTCGAGGGTGTTCGTAGTCAATCCACTGCACACTCAGAAAAACGCGTCCTCACTTTTGTTTACTCGCGGCTCAAGTAAGATATAAGTGTTCTCTATGTAATGGCGTAGAGCAGCAGCAACGCGCCAAACGTGTTCACACAGTTGCGCCATAGACTGTTGAGTTAAAAGACAATGGGGACAATGAATGGACACGGATTGCCAATACGCAAGCATTGTGGAGGCGTGGATGTAGAATGTGCATTACTACGATCTATTTAGTTCCGAGCAGCCACTTGTACATTAAAGATGGTCGTGTAAGCCGCAATGGCCATTGCACTTTTCCGCGTCAGCAACCGAGGCACTTCAACGTGGTCATTACAGGTAGCTTTGGGCAATAGCATTCTCTATCTACCTTCGCGTACATGTCTACATGGTTCCACTGTATCAGTCGAAGCAAGACAACGCGGCGGCTTGCTAATCACAGTCCCGAAGGCCGGGCTTTACAACAGGTGCTCTGATCGACTATATGTGTACGCACTTCGGTACGTCCATTAAGAACATCTCTTTGGACGTGCATTTGTCATGAGCTACCGCAAACTCGACGTGATTCTCGTATCGCAGGGTCACACGTTTTTCCGCAGCCATTTCTTTCAGGGACGACAATTCAGTAAAAGCTGTAGCATCGAAGTCAGCAATTTCCTGCTATCTTAGACCGACAAAACAAACGGCTGGACATCGTCATGCCAAGAAGAAGTAGAAGTACAACGACAATTCCTGACTCACCTGGCTTTATGGCATATACTCGTACATTTAGTACTCGTGAGAGATACAAAGCTGTTCAGATGTGTTGTAACGCGCTTGCACACAGCTATCTTGCACCTCAACTCACAAGCGGATTATGGCCGCTTTGCTGTCCATAGCGTGCAGACATCATGGCCGCTATGCTGTTAAAAGATTCACGAGCTGAAACAAATCAATCAGCGATTTAATCACCCTTCAGAATGCTCCATACATAGCCTTTCTCCAAGCTTATCGATCTCTATCCCAGCACCTTGCTATTCACAAAATCACAACACGGACTATCAACTTCTCGATCTCTTCACTCGAAGAACTTGGTAGCAAACGTGAGGTACGCTGTATGCCCACGGATCTCGTCGTCCTTCTTGGCCACAATGTGTTCTCCAACACCTCCGGGCACATACTTGCGTTTGCGGTCGGCGACCTTTGTCTGCCCTTTCGTTCCTTTTTCCACTTGACCGTCATCTTCATCCACCTCTCGTTTCAGCCCTTCCGCCGCAGCATCTCCGTTCACCGCCTTCACTTTCTTTCCAAACCCGAAGTCTGGCACGGGCAGGTCGATCCGTCGCGAATTGTACGGCACCAACCGTGTCTCAATTGTCCGTATCACTGCATTATACACCAGCACAAACCGAATCAGCTTGCAAACTCTTTGTCATGTACCGCCTCATCTCAACACCAAGACAAGTCGTCTTCAACGCACACTCAAAATTTGCACTGCGTAGTGCATCACACGTCTTCTGCACTTGCTCAATGCACGGCGAGTAGGACGCAAAGAATCCCCCTTGTTTCAACATCTTTGTCGCGTGGCCCACTGCGATCCAGGGACACGGCAAGTCCAGAAACACCATATCAATAGAGTTTGCCAGCTCAAGTGGGAATCCCTGAGCGCACGCGTCGCGGCACTCGACAGTGATGACGCTCTCGAGTCCATTGCGTCGAAACTCCTGCCGTGCAATCTCCGCCCGATGTGCATTGAATTCAAAGGTAAAGACGTGGCCATGAGGTGCCACGGTCCGTGCAAAGCTCGTCGTGAGCGCACCGCTGCCGGTCCCGGACTCAACCACGCGCGCCCCCGAGCGCAGAGCGGCAGCAAACGCAATGGCACTGGCGTCCAGTGTAAAGACAATCTGCGTCCGGTGGCGCAGCGCCCGACTCCAGAGCTCTGGCGTGGGGGCCAAGAGAATCAGATACCCCCACGTCGGTCCCTTTTTGACGCGCGAGGTGATCTTCGAGCCAAACGGTTGGCCAATCATATCGTTGTGGTAGAACGCGCCGTGGCGGTTCTGGTAGATCGCGTCGCGCTGCGCGTAGCAGTACGTGACCGACTGGTGCGTCTCAAAGAGGATGACGAGCGCACCTGCTTCGATGAGACGCGGCGACTGCCACATGTTGTTGGGGATCGTCGTCACGGACGCCGCGTTGACAGCTGCAGATGGCATTGCCATTGCGACGATCAATGGCTACTGCGCGGAGGGAGGCGATGCCGAGCAGCGATTGGTGGAAAAGAGAGCTCGGGTTATGATTGAAGCGGGAGTGCGAGCGCGACAAAAAGAGCATATCCGGACCAATTGTTGCGGCGATGCCAAGTTGTTCATAGATTGCTACGCAATAGAAGAGAGGTCGCACGTGGTTGGTTTGGTTGGTGTAGCAAAAGCGAGTTCTAGTCTGGATCGATATAGCAGATTCGATGCAATGTTGGTATTTTTGCGAATATTGCTCCTCTTTGTAGTCCAAAATGATACCGTCTCGTTCTTTGGAGCAGATTTTGTGATTCTTTTTACTCTTTTGCGTTTCGTACTTGCACAAATTGCAACAGCACCAGCGTCAACGGCAACGGCATCGCTCTGTCTGCAGCCATCATAGACTCCCGCTCTTCCTTCACCCGCACGCAGCTCTCTGTCCATCTCCATCGACGCATAGCAAGCGCCTCGACACATTGGCCGACCAGTCCACCAGCTGCGGCTTCTTCGTCTGCTGCCTGACCTACTTCTTCTCCTCTGAGCTGTCGTAGTTGGGGTCGTTCCGGTCCAACGTCATCGCTCCCTCTTCGGCTGTCGATACGCCCCAGTTGTGCGCTCCCGCTCCACCTGCCAACGTCAGTATCAACACGTCAGTTGTGCTATTAGCGGCAGTGAAGAAGACGCTTCGTCGTGTCCGGCCGTCTGTTCAACACGTACCCTTCTTCGGTCCGCCTGCACCCTGACCCAGGGGACCGCGCGAGTGGCGGTCCTTGTGCTCGTTCTTTTTGTTCGCGAGTTCACGGCTCTGCGGCATGTCTGGCGCTTCGTGTGTGTCTTCTTTGCAGTCAGATGGCGTCTGCGATCGTAGCTGCGCGTTGAGTGAGAATCCTTACAATGGCTTCTCGTGGACGCGCGCCCGATCTTCAACAAGCAGAAGCTGCAAGCGACAGGTGACATGGAACATGTCTATGTCGCCGAATCAGGTGCGCAAAAGGCAGTGGTGCACATGTCTTTGCGTGCGTCACACCAGATACAAGTGGTGCACGTGGTTTGGCGTGCGGCACACCAGACACAAGTGGTGCACTTAAACGAGCGCAACGTCAACTCGAGCGCGTGCTGCAATCAAAACCGACGCAAAAAACGGCTCTGAGACAAGTTGCGGCAATCTTACGCGAGTGCGACGTTGCTGTAATGTTCGAACATTGACGCAGACGAAACCCGCGGTCGTCCGATCGTATGGGCCCAGCCGCCGCCAGATGCGGCGCGAAGCCCTGGCAAAACACATACAGCTGGCGCGGCTGTCCTTTTTGCCCTCACCTCGACGTCCAGACCGTCTGGTAGCGAGCAAAGTGCGACGACGACGACGTCGTTCGACTAACTGCCTCAAGTCGGTATCTCGTCGTCGTCGTCGTCGTCGTCATTTCGTCCGACGTCCACCTTTGCCGCCCGTCGATGGACAAGTCACTTGCCGCTAACTCGTGCACCAGTGACGTCCGGAACGACTGTGTCGCAAGCGAGTGGCATTACGTGCGCTCTTTAGCGATCGTGCGGGTACGTCAGTGCTCCGGCACTAGCGAAAAGCGCACTTGGTGTTGTGTCGGTACGGGCCACGTATGCCACCGCCGTTCCTGCCGCCTTCGCCGCGTTAGCATACAGAGAAACCGACCGCTCGACGCACTCACTCCGTCATATTCCAATTCGCACGACACCCGCCACCACTACTACTACTACTACTACTACTACTACTACTACTACTACTACTACTACTACTACTACTACTACTACTACAACTCATACTACTACTACAACTACTACCACTCCTCTCACGATAAGTAGTACTCGTGCAACTGCTACAAGTAGTCCTGCTGCACTGCAACAACTACAACAGCAACAACAACTACTACTACTACTACTCTTCCTCCTCCTACTACTACTACTACTACTACAACAACTACTACTATTTCTGCAACACCAACAGCTGCAACAACTTCAAGTAGTAGTACAGCTGCAATCAAAATGATCCACAACGCCCGAGTTGCCGTCCTGACGTCTGTCGCTGCTGTCCTGCGCGAGCACGACACGCTGTCTGGATGCCCTCACATTGCCGAAATGGTGAGCGCGTACTTGGACGCGTCGTCCAAGTGGTCCATCGAGCGCGCTGCGTGCGCCGGGCACCTGACGCTCTTGGACCGCTTGGGCGCGCAAGAGCTGCCCGTGTCCCCGCGGGAACTCGACTGGGCGCTCCGCACGGCAGCTGACCGCGGCGACTTGGCCGTCGTCCAGTGGCTCACGGCCTACCAACCGGACATGGAGTGCTCCACGCGGGTCATGGACTCGGCGGCCCTGCGCGGCCACTTGCAAGTGATCAAGTGGCTACACAACTACCGCGACGAGGGCTGTACGACCGCTGCGATGGACAGCGCCGCAGCGTACGGTCGGCTCGACGTCGTCCAGTGGCTCCATACGAACCGTCTCGAGGGCTGTACGACCGCTGCCATGGACAGCGCCGCGGCCGGCGGCCACCTCAACACCGTGCAGTGGCTCACGCTGAACCGCTCCGAAGGCTGCACGAGTGTCGCGTCGCACTTTGCGCTGCTCAATGGCCACATGGACATCTTGCGCTGGCTGAACGAGCAGAGCGTGCGCGTGCAGGACGCGAAGAAGGCCATGGGCGGCCCGACGTCGCTGCGCTGGTCGCGGAGGGAGCGGCGGCTGAGCGCGACGGGACTGGACGCGCCCCGCCATCGCCCGCGTCGGTTGAGCACGGGCCTTTTGTATCGGAACTAAGGAGGAGGCCGACAACGAGGGCGTTCCATGCAGGAAGTCGGCTGTCGCTCTGTTGTGGGCGCTGCACGTCGGGGGAGTATCTCCGTATCGAAGATGCAGTCACCAATCAATCAACGAAGCAATCTATCGTTCAGTCGGGTTATTAAACACTGCGTATCGACGCCATTACCATTGCACGTCGTACTACTACTTCAAGCGCAATTGAGATGTATGATAGGGAGCCCTAACGGTCCTATTCTTAGTATGGCGGGTGCAATGGATCGGATACAGCACCTCGTGTCGAAAAGGCCAAACAGTATGACGGAACGAGCGGTCTCTTGTCGTGTGAGTGTTCTTTGTCGCTCTGTAGCCACCTTTGACACGGACGTCTGGTAGGAGGCACGATGCGTGACAGCCATTTGGGCACAGGTGTCGCATAGGTCAACGTGTGATTTATCGACAACGGAGTCCGAAGCGATTGAAGCTGCCATCAGCTATCAGCGTCCAACGCTTTCAGTCAGCGGAAATGTGAGACGGTGTTCAGCTTTCTATCTTCGGGTCGTGCGGAACCCATTGTGTCGCTGCTCTCGGTGGGTGCGCGCGACGAAGCGCTTCGCGTGCAAGTGAAAGCCCACAGCCATCGCAGTCGACGTCTTTGATTCGAAAACAAGCGCTGTCGGAAGCACTCGTGAGACTTCTGCATACATAGCACACAAACTAGAGACAAGACGACGACGAGGATGCAGCGGATGATGAGTGTGCAGGTCATTGTACGCGACCAGACAGATGCCATCGCCACTGGACTCGTAGCGAAACTCATCGAGTCGTTTCTAGACCGCTCTACGCTGTGGACGGTCCAAAAGGCGGCATGTCGCGGGTACCTTTCGCTGCTACATCGACTTGGTGAACGAAACGCACCGATCACAGCTCACGGTGTGGACTGGTCCATGCAAATTGCAGCAACAGAGGGGCACTTGGACGTCGTGAAGTGGCTCACAGCTTATCGTCCCGAAATGACAATCTCGACTCGAGCGATGGACGCTGCAGCGTTGCAGGGACATTTGGACATGGTCCAGTGGCTCCATACCAACCGAAGCGAGGGGTGCACGACTGCGGCAATGGACAGCGCTGCCGCAGGTGGTCACCTACATGTCGTCCGATGGCTGCACGCGAATCGCACCGAAGGATGTACGCGAGGAGCAATAGACACTGCTGCAGCCGGAGGTCATTTGGCCACGGTTCAGTGGCTCTGGGCCCATCGGTCCGAAGGCTGCACGACTGTTGCGATCGACTTTGCAATCTACAACGGCCATTTTCCTGTTGTCAAATGGTTCAGCGAGCTAGCGACTTACCAGCCAAGAAGTGCCCGTCCTCATACGGCAGGAGGACCTACTCCATACAGCAATCCATGCATCAAGAAAGACCTTGGCGGCCGAGCTACGCTTGTCTTTGAGTGAAAAACGTGTTCACTCTGCCATGCTGAATGTTGCAGGATCACGCACACCCCTGTGGCGATAGAGGGCGTGCACGGAAGAGGATGGACATGACATGAAAGACCACTACAGAGCCACTTGCAGGGTGGATACTGATTTGATGTGCTTGTGGCGCACATGTAAACAATGCATTTGAGTGGCACCACACCGCTTGTCTTATCCTTCGATGTGCCAAGCGCCGGACTGCATGTCGGCGGTTCCACAAGTCGCTACGGACTTTGTATGGCTCGAAATAAAGTCTGTTTGACACGTCTTGCGCCATATCCACGTTTCCCACGACTCGGCGACAGCTTACAATCGATGCTAAGTCGGCCTGTCTGGTCGAACAGCGCACACATACTTCATGCTCTTTCGCGCCCATCGGCTACAGCGTTACTTGCCGTTTCCCTGCAACTCGCTGCTGCATACGATTTCCACTATGCAGCAGCGACTTTTGCAGCGCTATCTATCCTCATAGCGGCCGAATTCCTTGCGTTGGCAGTTCGGAAAATTCCCGTGTAACTGACCATGACGTAACTCCGAGAGAGTAGCGAGAGACACAACTTGTCTGCATTCGTAGATCATTCGCAGAAGGTACGCCAACTTTTACAAAGTGGCGGAGCGTCGTGGAGACAGTTGAGCACTAAATGACTGGAATTATATGCGTCCGGACGTCGATCGTCATCAGGTTTGTGATGATACATCCGAGCAAGTAGACATGCTTTGGTTTCTGCTCGGCTGTACACAGGGTGCAGCTTCTCAAAAAAGCCTTTGGGTCTACGTGCTCTCGTGCCGACAAGCCACAAATTGCACATCACCGTGGAAAACGTTTTGAGGCCGCGGAAGGTTCACAAGACTCGGCCTTGCACTATCGCAGAGCTGCGGCTGCAGTAAAGTCGGGTCCAGACCTACTGAGAGGATTCATGGCGGGGTCGAGCGCGATTTGCCGAGCGTCATCAGTGCAAAGCGAGAAGGCAATGCGCGGCATGGTACGATTGCCCCGAATAGCACATGGGATGAGCAGACGGCAACGGCTGCCGACCGCCAGACACTTTGTTCCAAGCACGGTATAAGAACTCAGTACTTCATGCGCGTCCGCTCGACCACTGGCGTCCATTGAGCGTGCCCTACTTCATTTCCAATCCTCAAGTCCTTCTAGCCACAACCGTTTCGTTGGTTGGCGCAGGCCCAGGAACTACGCTACGTAGACCTACCTTCGGCAAAGGTCTCGGAAGCAGCACAAGGCAGCCCACAGCATTATAGCAGACGTCAGCGGCAATTGATGCTCTCGACCTCGACGTCACCGATCAGTAGTTGCGGGTCCTGTACAGAGAGTGGAAGTGCAGTAGCTAATGCACGCGGGTAGCGAGAAATCGAGCTGTCCAAGGAAGTCAAAGGACATTTACTTTTAGACCTCCCCGGCGAGGTGAACGACGATGCCTTCGTATGGGAGAGCATGATGCATAGTGTGAGCTGTTTCAATAGCACTTGCTTGTGCGTGCAGCGACATCAAGTGACGTTCCTACATGCAAACGTCACCATCGAAAGCAGCAGTGTCAAGGAATTGTAGGAATCAGACATCAGTCCTCTCTGAGCTGTTCCAAGGCCGGAACACTGGTAGATGAAGCCGAAAATACGAGAAGCTCATCTCAGCTGTTAAGCGAAAGCAACAGGAGCCAGCAACTCTGAGGGCTGTCGTATAAGATGACTGACAAGGGTCCGTACGACCATCAAAGTCGCAAGAGAAACGTATACTGCAAAGCAATTTCTAGGATGCGTCGGGCTCTTTGGCAATAGGGTGCAGCAGTTATCCGGCAACCGTTAAAGACCGGGTAGACACGTTTAAGGTTAGAGACACAGTTAATAAAGGTCAAAGAGGCTGTTTGAAAGACTAGATAGGCAGTTCGTTTGTCTCTCATGTTGTGTGGTACTTACCAATCTCAACAGGGGCGTCTATGAGCCGCTATCCCGCCCGTCTCGAGGATCAACTAACAGAGGGTACGCCCTATTGTAGGCATGGACGATCTCCAGTAGAGTCGAGGAGATGCTGAATAAGTCTTTATTTATTAGGGTTTTCGTTCTCAAGCCAACGAAGCGACGTTAGTTCGAAAGACGACTGTACAACAACAAGACGATGATCGTGAAAAAGCAGTCGCGGGGTCGATCACAATGCCGGCTCAGCATCGACTTCGTCCGCATGAACCCCTTCACATGATGGTGCACTTTGCCTTGTGACCACGTCGGGATTGATACTTTTCCAAGTACTTGAGCTGACGCAGATTAATAGCTCCACGTCGAAACTTGCGAATATGCTCTACGGCATTTATTGGGTCCAGTCCATACTCAATCAACGCGATGGCGACGAGCACGGGGGCTCTACGCATCACACAATACCACGACAACAGCAACAACAACAACAACAACAACAACAACAACAACATCAACAAAAACAACATCAACAACATCAACAACAGTCAGCATGAGGTACGAGCAAGCAACAGCCAGTCCGTCCATCGAAATCGTCGACCCACTCACCGCCCGAGTCCAGCAACGCAGTGCACTGCAATGGACTTGTTGTGCTTCGAGCCAATCTCGTTCTGCTTGAAACACGCTTCCACCAGGTCCAGCCACTGGTCCAATATCTTTGGGTCCGGGGACTCGCCGTCGGGGAACTCGAGCTCGGACACGCGAATGCCCGCGGCCTCCACCGACTCGCTGCTGTACGTGACCTCACACGCGCGCACGAGGTCCGAGACGTTGTGGCGCTTGAGCTCCTTGAGGTAAATGTGCAAATTGCTGTCGTTCGGCGCGTCCATAATCACAAACGACAGGTGCTCCCACTTGACCATCGTCGGCTTGTTCGTCGACGCGATCATTGCGTCCAAACCCGACCAATGCCGACCACAAACAGGGGGCAGGAGCAGCAGCAGCAGCACGAACAAGAGGACAAAAGAAGGAGAGGGCGGAAAGAGAGAGGGCCCGCAAGTAGGCAGAGGGATGAAAGGCAGGGAAAAGCAGCAGCAAGAGGTCGATCGTCACAGACTCGTGCGGCGCTCGCTCTCCAGTGAGCAAACAGACACTGTCGTCGTCGTCGTCGTCGTCGTCGTCGTGTCACTCGGTCGTGGCCCAGCAAACTTATCCCATCCGTCGACTGCGCTGCTCGAGGAGTCGGTCTCTGCGCTATGTACGAGAGCCCCAACCGCTGTGCGCCACACGCCCACTGCTGCCTCCGAACGGGACGACTCGCGGCGCCCACAACAGATAGTGCGGCCGACCACTCGTCACGGCACTCAGACTTGCGAACGGAAGACGACAGACACAGCGCGGGGGACGCACAGACGGGGGCGAGACGGCCAAGCGACTGCTTCGAAGCGCTACTGCTACTGCTGCGGGTGCTGCGGGTGCTACTGCTGCTGCTCCGCGGCTGCTGCGGGTGTGGCACTTGGCTGGAGGGCGTTTTCTCGAGTGTGCGTGAGAAAAAGTGTCTCGGGGGTTGTATGGAGCCGAAGGCGGGTGAGACCGTGTGGGGATTGGTGGAAAAGCGCAGTGCGTGACTGGAGAACGCGTTGGCACACGTCGCAGGAAACGAGGCGACCACTGTAGACCACGTCAGACAGACGTCGAGTGCCTTCGGACAGATAGATAGATAGATAGATAGATAGATAGATAGATAGATAGATAGATAGATAGATAGATAGATAGATAGATAGATAGATAGATAGATAGTAGTAGTAGTAGTAGTGTTAGATAGATAGATAGATAGATAGATAGATAGATAGATAGATAGATAGATAGATAGATAGATAGATAGATAGATAGATAGATAGATAGATAGATAGATAGATAGATAGATAGATAGATAGATAGATAGATAGATAGATAGATAGATAGATAGATAGATAGATAGATAGATAGATAGATAGATAGATAGATAGATAGATAGATAGATAGATAGATAGATAGATAGACAGACCGACACACAGACTAATTAAACGAACAGACTGTCGACCGTCAGACGTTTGCGACTGAAACATTGAGTGAACGAACGAGTGACTGCTGTGTCGTGTCGTGTCGTGTCGTGTCGTGTCGTGTCGTATGTGGTCGAATAAGAACCTGTTGCGAGCTGTCGTTGAATCCAGCAGCGCAATGGTTGTTGGTGGACGAGTTGGTCGTGCTGTTCATGCTATCGGTCGAATGTGAGATTGGTGCGGCATCGCATCCCTCTGTTGCATTGTGGACGCAAGGCAGTCGTTGGTGTAGTTGGAGACCGCGTGTTTGATTTGAGACTTTGGCCTCCGCATCTGGGAACGTATCGTGGATGATGCCCACCATTAGTTACACAGGTGCAACAGCCAGAAAGACTGAGCGGCAGCCGCACATACTGACGATGTGGAAGTCAGTCGGAGCACGAGCAGTGAACAATCTGACGCTTGCGGGCATCATGTCGAGCATGCAATCGTGCTGTAATCAGACTGTGCGGTGTTACACGTGGTGTGTTGTCAAATTGCATGCACTCCCATTGCGTTGCTCCAAATGGAAGCATTGCAAGTCACGCACCTCGTCCACTACAGCGCTGCGCTTCCGACGAACCTCAAGCCGCGGCTATCGGCCATTCACGCCCCTCTCTTTGCGCCGTCTTCCCACGTCGCTAGTAGTTACACGTCCGATAGTTTAAGGCATGAAGAGGTTGCAATGGGCAAACACTGTGCATGCGTTGCCATACATTTAGTACGTGATCACGACACCTGCGTGACAACGTATGCGCCAGAGAACATGAGAAGAAACAAAATAACTTGTAAGCATACAGAACATCACGCAAACGAAAGGATACGTCATCCCAGCGTTTTCAGGCTCGTGTCAAAGTTTACTTGCGCTGAGCGCCCAGACATTGCTAATGCGAAAACTGTGGTCGACGGCGTTTCTACGCATGCAGACAAAAAGTTACCACTGTTCTTCGGAGTTGCTACGTCGTGAGTTGTTTGTCTTCGACTCGTGTCAGTCAGTCGGTGGGATGTACTTCTTCGTCACAAAGTCTGTTTGCGCGTCGACTTCAACGGACAAATGGAAGGTACATACACAGTGGGCGTCCATCCGTTATGCCACGTGCCAACGCAACGTCGTGGCTGTTCCTAGCAGCTTTGCTAGACACAGGAAAGAATCTCCATCGATTTGAGGGCACGACCAACCGACAAGGGTCGCTATTCAGCATTGGCGGCAGAGTTGGTGACCATCACCGTCATAGCTTCCGTCGCCAATGCAATAGGCAAACTTCCTCGTTTTGCTGCCCTTTACGACCATCACAACTGCGATAAACTGCATGAACGTGCTGCATCCATCGACATCGGATCACCTATCGAAGAAAGAGAAGTCGGTGAGCAGCCAGGGACATGTTGGAGTTCGCGGCAGGCAGATGGCGTGTAATTGACAGCAAAGATAACGCGAAGCAGAGCGCTGCATTGAGCACTATGTGATTGTATGCGTAAGGCTTTCCATCGCTTCGCAGTGACAAACGACGACATTGTCTGCTCATAGCACAATTCATTGCTCCGATCACTCCAATCAGCCGCTTCTTCAGCAGCTCGTGGACCCGATGGATAAGGCTCAGCACCAACAGTCTGTAGTCCATTGAGTCGCACAGCATCAGGTAACAACATATTTCCGACACACACGTCCGTGCAGGGTAACGTACACTAGCGACACTCTATGTGCGACCTTCGCGCCCTTGTGTAGTTGCAACGCCTCATCGACCCATCCAAAGCATCGCGATATGATTACGAACGGCCGCAGATTATGTTCGGTGACAAACTGTTCTCGCTTGTCATTTGCTCGGCTGCTTGCCTGAGGTCCCTAGAGTCGGCGTAAGAAATTCGAGCAATGGCGGTATCATCACATCGCCAGACTTGTCAGGTATCGAGCGAGCTGCAAAAATCAATCGATCATGTTTCTTTCAAGCCAAGGCATACCTTGCTAACGTTTTGTCCTTGTTGAACGGAGCAGGTCGCCGTATTGCGACATGTGCATACAACTTTACAACTGCCGCGGCTAGAAACGTTCACGTAACGGATAGCGACCATGAAAATGCTCACTCGCAGCATAAGTCCCATCTACAACTGACTGATACTTGTTGCTACTAGAAGTGCGTCATCATGGCAAGTTTGACTGTCACCGATGTCATGTTTACGGTCATCCACTGCAGCAGTAGAAGACTGTACGAACATACAGTTGACATGTACAACAGCTAAACCTAGCTGGCTTTGTACATGCACCAAAGGTCAAACAGCTTCCTTCGTCACCTCACATTACATCAGCATAGGTTTGTTACTTGACTTGCCGATCCGCCTCGCCACATGCGATCAACTACATGCGGCTGTCGATCTTTATCGTTTCGACGACAGACGGCAAGAGAACCAGAGGTATTCGCCACGTGATTCCGTACGACGCCAATTGGTTTTGCAATCATCTTCCGACGACGCAAAAGCTCTTGCCACACCAAGCAGCCCCGAGAGACCATCAAGCATTACGCACTCACAAGATACGCGAAATCTCGGAGGGCTCAGAGTCGTCCAGCAGTGGACGTGATCGGAAACGCTACGGCAAATCGACTTGTTTGCACGGGCACATATAATTACAGCTTGATGAGACGCTCCGCGAGCGAGCGCAGAATCAAGGGCGCAACTTGCTTCCTAGAAGCGTCCACATTCAGCTGACTGTAAGCAGCAACGCGCTCGTCCGAATGAGACTTTGGCAGCTGCAGCGCGTGCAGTCGCAACGACCTCTCGCTTTCAATGTAAGCAAGACAGTGTTTGACTTCATCGCCCTCCTCCTGAAAGAAGAGCAGCTGGCGCTGGCGCTGTCCGTCCGACGTCATAAAGATGCTCATCACTACCAAGAAAGCCAACTCGTTCTGCTTGCAAAACGCAGACAATTCCCCACGTAGTGCAACTGCATCGCCAACCTTGCGCACCAGCGCCTCCACATCCACAAGCACCGCACTGATGCCGACCTTCTTCACGTCATTACCTGACGTTGCAAATTCAAACTCTTTGTAGTCCACTTGCAGACAATCGGCCAACGAAAATGCTTGCCAGTGCTTGACATTGAACTTCTCTGCTTGTAGCCACTTAAACAGCTCTTCTTTCGTCGCAAACGCCTTCTTCTCCAGCAACTGCGCTGCCTTCACGTCCCGTGACGTCACTCTCTTGGCCTTTGGATCAAAGTTGATACTGTCCAGTGCAATCACCCCCAGCAGCATCGTCGACAGCACGGGATACGCCTCGTGCTGCGCTACAACATCGTCCACTTTCTCGGCCACGAGCGTACACGTGCTGGCCACCAGTGCTTGTCCGTGTGCAAACGCCACGTCCCGCTTCTCCACCTCCAGATGACGGCCAAGATCCGCGTGGTGGTCCACAATCTCCTCAATCTCCAGCTGCTCCCGCCAGCGTAGCAGCTGCTTGTTGCTCAGTGCATTGTGGTCCAATAGCGTGACGAACAACCGGCCACTCGACTGCCACGGGAACTCGTCCAGGAACACGAGAGCGGTCGTGTCCACGTCCAGCGCGTGGCACAGCGCCGCGACGTCGCAGCGCAGGCGCCACGCGGCGCGAGAGATCGGCAACACCGCAACATGAACCGTCTCCACTTGCTGCTGGCTCGTCTGCGGCTCTTGCGCGCGTAGAAACGCGTACGCCAACGAGCTGACAATCGAGTCGGCGTCGGCTGCTTCGTTGCCAATATAGACGTGGACCGAAGCAGGCGGACGCGACGGCACGAGCGCTGACACGCGACTGGAGCGGAGAAAGGCGTTCATCGCGTGGACACTGGCGCGACGCGCGTCGGCGGTCACGCGCCACGCAATGGACGACGAGCAGCAGCCGCTCGCGGACATGAGGTGCCGACGATGGCGCAGGAGCTGCTGCATGCAAAAGTGGTGGGCGATGGTGTGGCACGACGTGGACCACACATTCGAAACCGTACTTAAGGCGCACCTTTGCACACAAAACCCATTCCCGTCGATAGCAAACGCGAGGTACGGAGCACGAGTGATGTGGGTGGGCGGGCGGGTGTCACGTCCCTGTTGCCTGTACGGCCGTGCCGCCCCGCGCGCGCTCTCGCTGTACTGTTCTCCGCCTTCTCCTCCTCATCGTCTTGTTGTTTGTCGTGTCGCTGTTGTTGTTGTTGTTGTTGTTGTGGATGTGTGTAGGCTTTACGACGTTGGCCACGGGCTTCCCGCTCTGTGTCCTCTCTCGCTCTCTTGTTGGCTGTATCCCTGCTAGAGCCAGTATCAGGCATGACTGCTCCTTCTGCTGTTGTTGCGTTGGACACAGGCTTTGGCGTACTGAGCGTTGCCGACCGTCTGTTGCTGCTCGTGACGATTGGGCTGTTCCTGTCGCTGAGCGCCGTGTCGGGCCGCGTGCTGTTCCGACAGTACACGAACAAGCGCAAACGTCTCATTAGCCTCGCGGCAGCGTCTCCAGATGAAGCTCCAGGGACCGCTCTGTCCAGCAAAGGCCCTTATTCGACTGCGTCGCAAGCTTCTGCCGCCCCTGCGAACGTCGTGGGTGGCTGCGAGTCTGCTCTGATGGAGGAAGAAGGGGCAGCTGCGGCTTCGACAGGGTTCGAGATGCGACAGCGGCTGTTTCTATTGCTGTTTGCGGCATCGAGTTTGCGTGTCTGCTCGTTGATCACGGAAGTGGCGACGCTGGAGATTGTCACGGATCTGCCGTCCACGTCCGTTTATTGCAGACTCTTGGCGCTGTTCTTGTGGCTTCCGTCGATGCTGTTTGTGTCCATGTATGGACTCGTGCTGCTCTTCTGGGCACAGCTGTGCTACGCTTGTCGAGGCAAGGCTCACCCGTGGCCCCGAAGGATCTTCTTCTTGTTCAATGTGGTGTTGTATGTTGGCTTTGTGCTGCTGGCTTCGCTCGCGCAGACGGTGGCAGGGTTTTGGAGAGGCTGCGATGTATTCCAGGGAGGCATCTACTTTGTGGGACTGTTTGTCATCCTGTATTACAGCATCCGACTGGTCGACTTTTTTCGCAACCAAAGCCCGGATGACGAATTTTTCTTCGACTTGTCGTCGGCAGCTATGGGCAACAGTGCTGCGAATGTTGGACGCGAACGAGGGTCGCCGTACACCATTGCGGCCATCTCACCGCGACAACTGGTACTGCGAAGGGTATGTTAAGCTATGATGATGGAACGTGCGCGTCTTTGTTGGCAGACTGACGAGCTCTCTGTGGTGCGTCTAGATCACGGCTGTGTGCATCCTGCTCTGCGTCCTTTTTCTTGTGAAGGCGGTGTATCTGATCGGAATGGGCTCTGGCTACATGGAGTCAAAGGAGGCACAGTTTCGCACACCTGTGGGTGTCCATTACATCGCGTTCGAGTTTGCCATTCATGTCTCCACCGAGTTTGTTCCCAGCGCGCTGCTGCTGTACTTTACGCGTCAAGACAAGCACTCGCCGTCGCATCAACAACGTGTTCGATCGTCATCTGCCACCTCAGCCTCCGCATCCTTATCCGGCGGTAGCTACGGTGCGAACAATGCACGAGACAAGCCCTCGACGCCAAAGTATGCATACGCACCCATGCGTGGCGTCGCCTCCGGTCACCCCTACCAAGAGGATACCGTGCCGATGCTTTCTGGGTACCAATATCAGGTACGCAAAGGTGCATTATGCGGTATCGATGTTGGACATGTACTGAACTCTTTTTTGCCGTGTCGTAGGCAACACAACGTGCCTATGGAACAACGAGCAGCGCAGCGTCGAGTACTGCAGCGCACCTTCGCTCTAGCAATAGTAGTGGTGCCTTCCTCCTTGAAAGCATCAGCGGAAGTGCGTTTGGCAGCGCAGGCCCTAACACAGGCGCGAAAGGTCATACAGCATGTCACAACGGTTGACACAGAAAAACAAATAGACATGACACGGTCGTGCTTTTTTGTGTCGCTTGCTAGTTTCGTGCTACCTGAAGGTCTATAAGGGTACAACGATGAAACTCGTCTGCGACGATGAACAAGACGTACGTATGCTTTGCGCTGCTTATCGTTGTGAAGCAAAAAGTTGGGCTTCGGATTGATTTGCCTGAAAGAATGCAATCGCTCACAATCTCCATTGCTGGGCAGTTGAGTTGGCAGGGGTGACATAAATGGAGACGATGTCAAGGTAGCGACCTATCTATCCATGCTCACCAGCCGTCATTGGCTTCAGCTGTTTGCGCTGGCCGAGGAAAGTGCGTAAGACCAGGTCGATCCAGTGGTTGTTGTACTAGTAGAGCCACCATAGGCATGAAGTATAGTCATTCCGATGTTCACGATATCAGAAATAAACACAATAAGCTTACAATTGGCCGTCCAAGTACGCATGTACATAGACGCGCTAGTCGCACAGGCGAAGATGACATCATATCAAGCTGAGATCATGTTTTGTACTAATTCCCCACATCCATTGCAATGAATTTGATATCGATGTACAAGAATTGTTAAGCTGGCAGACCATCAGCTATGGCATTACGATCGTGCATTCCATCGAATGTAAAAGATAGGATTAGAAGCAAGTAGTCGATCTTACGCGTCCAAGCACATCCGTAAGGTCAAGTAATCTTGCGCGTAGGTTGGGACAATGATATGTCGACGTGACACGACACTGGCCCTTCTTTGCAACAATCGCGGAACGTGCATGCACGCACAGCGTGGGCTGCTGCAACACAACGGAAACGAGATCATATTCATATCTAGCTCTTTTCAGATTCAACGCCATCTGTAAAACGCAAGCAGTTGAAATCAAAGAGGACAGTTCATAAATAGCGTTAGAGCATCGGACGTAAGCATCGCTATATCTATTAAATGGCCCGATACGATACACATTGCACGCTCATATCACCACCATCTGGACCACAGGCAAAAGTATCCGATCATACCTTGCGCCGATCCGCTGCAAACCAAAAGTGGCTACAAACTCCAATGGCGACCCCCACTTCCCGCACCATCCAATCCGCCACCTCCCGACCGCCTCAGCGCGTACGTCCTGCCCCCGCCCGTCGTAGTCCAACACTCTCAACCCATTGCGCACCTACTGCCCACTCATGTCGGAGCGCGCTGGACGCCTCTCGGGTCTACAGAATGGCGCCGTGGGCTCTCTCGCCGGTATGATCGAAGTACTTCTGCAGCAGCCGACTGTAGCCATGAAGAACGCCGTGCAGCAAAATCGGCCCATCCAGTGGTCCGTCCCGGCGCTCTATCGCGGCGTCGGCGTCTCTCTGGTCTCGATCGCACCTGTGAGCGCACTCCAATTCGCAGTCAACGGCCGTCTGCTGCGTCAATCCATTCGCAATCGAGACGCCCCTCCTTCGGACGCGACCAAATTGCTCTGTGGCACGTTATCGGGCGTCTCGTCGGCGCCTCTGAGTGCATCTGCTGAGCTCGTGATGACACTGCAGCAAAACAATGGCAAGAGCTTTGGGGCTACAGTCAAAGAAGTGGCACAGACGCACGGCGTGAGGCGACTCCTGCGGGGCGTCACGGCGACGGCCGTGCGCGACGCGACGTGGTGCGCGGGGTACTTGGCGCTTGGCCCCGTGTTGACGCACAAGATGCACACGCTCAGTCCAGCGGCTTTTGGCCATGCAGACGATGCTACCAAGTCCCAGAAGACGTCGGCCTCGCTGGCCGGATGCATTGCTGCTGGTCTTCTTACAGTGGTGGCGACGCAGCCTGTGGACACGGTCAAGACCGTCATGCAGGGAGAGGCAATGGTGTTGACTTCTGATCGAGCTTCTAGCACTTATGCTACAGCCGCTCGAATCTACCGTGAAGGTGGAGTGGCGCCATTCTATCGCGGTATTGTCCCTAGAGGATGTCGCTTGATTGGTGCGGTCTTTATCCTGGGCCAGTCGCGCGTCTGGCTCGAGGAGGTCTTTGAAGAACATGCGTTGCTCAAGTTGTAGCTTTGTGGTGGTTCCAATTGCTGCTGCTCGAATCGTGGAGTTCGAGTCACTCGAGTGTGCTATGATGCCATTGCCGTGCAAAGAGTTTGTGCAGTTTGACGTGGCGGCCATTATTCGGATCGTCAAGTGCACCATAATGTCGACCCTGTTTACCGCTGTGTACTACAAACGTTGCTGGAGTCGCAGCTAGCTCACTTCATTCGAATCGGAGGACTATATGCGTATTGTACGCGTACATTCAGAGACAAGACAATAAGGCGAGCGAGCTCAAGTGTCCGTGAATATCGCTCACTCCTATTTGCTTTCTTCAAGGGTTTGTCGTCTGCACTTCCGTTCCAATTCGCCTTCTTCGTTCGAATCGCATGCATTCGAAATGCAGATACGTTGTCAGCTGATGCCAGATACATCTCTATACTGTGAGTAATCAGGCGGGCACTCTTCAACATTAAACTAAGGGTAACAGCGTTTACGCAACAGAAGCCATGAACGCCCAAACGCGGCGGAAGTGCTGGGTTGGATGAGCGGATCACACCACTCTACCGTCACCGTTCATTCGGTCACAACGACGCCCTTCTGCTATCACGAGCGAGCGATCGAGCTGATGCCTTTGTGATCAACTTTATTGGATTCCCGCTAGAATACGGTGCGTTTACAATGACCAGCAGAGACTTTGCTGTATCACAATATCTCTTGCCCACGATATGGTCAGGTAATGACCGGAAATCTTCGATACGTTAGTCCGATGGCTTTAACGTCCGATCGGCAAAGTTGCAAGCACATTGCTGCTTTGTCGTTTGTCAAACTCCACGAGTGCAAGTTGTTCATTACAACGAGTGAGACGTGCCAGACGAGGACTTGAGCCTACCAATTCCTCACCAAGACTTGCCTTGACCAGCCTCACTACTCCTGCGCACCACTGTACCATCTTCTACGTGTGGACAAGAGCTTTGCACACCTCGTGCATCTTGTCCAAGTATTCCGCTGCGTGCTTTGGCTGGAAGATCAACGAGGGCCGGAATCGAACTGACGTAGCTCCGCAGCCGCCCGAAGCGACACCTTTCATCTTCATGAGATTCACAAAGTCGTTGCGCACAGCTTCGGTCGGAAAGTCGATCGCCAAGTATGTGCCCTGGCCACGCACGTTCGACACCAGAGCCGGAAACTCGTCCGCGATATCCTGCAGTCCCGTCTTCAAATAGTTGCCGGTGATCTTGACATTCTCCAAGAGGCTGTCGTCTGCCACCACCTTGAGCACTGCCTCGAGAGTAATCATCTTCGCGGGATCGCCCATCCACGTGTTAAAGATGCGGTAGCCTTCCTTCACGCGAAACGCCTCCTTTGCATAGTACCCACCCGTCTGCATCTTCTTACTGAACGTGACAAAGTCAGGCGGGTTCGTCAGCTCCCAGTGCTCATGCGCCCAAAACTTGCCTGTGCTGCCGCCTCCTGTTTGCACCTCGTCCACGATAAACGCCACATCGTACGCTGCCGCCAAGTCCCGCAGTTGCCGAAAGAACGCAGGACTGGCGTGATTGTCTCCTCCTTCCGCTTGAATGGGCTCGACAACCATCCCAGCAATGCGCGAGTCCGTATGCTCGGTCACACCCGCACTGTGCTGGAGCAATCGCTCGACCTCGTCCAAGCACCGTGCTTCCTCTGCTTCGTTAGCTGCTTGGTGGACCTCCAGGGGGTACCGCAGCTTGGGGAACGGCGCAACGGGCCAGTCGAACGCCGGCACGTCCACCTTGTGGAGGGCCTTGGAATGCGTCGTCGACAGACAGCCCAAGAGGCGGCCGTGGAAGCCGCCCTGGAACGACAAGATGCTCAAAGGCGGTGTCCCGGGCAACCGGTGCAGCATGCTCGTGGCCAGCTCGTGCTCGGACGGAGCCCGTCCTCCTCGTCGCTTGGTCTGGAACCAGATAAACACCGCCTTGTAGGCGTTTTCGTTCGAGCACGAGCCACACATGAGCGTCTGGACGTCCGTCAGTCCTGTGGGCGCCACGGCGCCCAGCGTCCGGTGCAGGCGGTCGACCCAGTCGGCAGGGGGAAACACGCCGAGACACGGCCGCTGCACGAGCATCGCGAGACTCGTCCGGTCGCGCATCGCGTCGAGGAGCTTTGGGTGGTTGTAGCCAAGCGCGAGCGACGCGATCTGTCCGTACACGTCGAGGAAGCGGTTGCCGTCAATGTCGACCAAGTAATTGCCTCTGCTGGCCGCGTAGTCGGCGAAGAACCCGACTGCGGCCGTGTTCTGGAGCGCTGCGAGGCGCTGTCGTTGCTGCTGCGACTTGGGGCCCGGCACGTGGGCCGTCACGACCGCAGCGTGCGCGTACTCGTCGGGAAAAGGCGGCGAAGGAGTGGCGGGCAACGCGCGCGTGCGGAACGAGCGGCGCCACGGCCACAACGAGCGGTTCCTCGGGGCAACGAGACGTTGCGGCATTGTGGAGATGGGACAGTTGCGTGTCGGTCGGTCACTTGTGCGCTGCAGAGCGCAAATGATCGACTGACGCGGTGAAAGAGTGGGGGGGGCGAGGGACTCTGCGGGGGGGGGGGGGCAGTTCATTTTGACTTGGCGTTTGTAGGGGATCGAGCGGAGTCGGCACTTCACGTGGTGCTGCAGGTTGAACGTGTTGTTGGGACATTTGATTGGCCTCAGGATCTGTGTACATCGATATTGTTCTGCTTCTGGAGGTTACTATGTATCGAATTGATAGGTTGTCGTGGGTTGACAACAGGGCACCGTGAGTCGATAGCTGTAGTCATGTGGATCTTCGTCATGTTTGTCCGCACACGAGTGCCATTTAACAGCACCTATGCATGTACATCCGCCGCAAATCTGCTGTTGCGACAGTCGCCGGCGTTCGTTTCCGTGTTCTCTTGACAAAGTACTTGGAAACTAACTACACGAAGCACAATGAAGTCGCACATACGCTATGGGCCTTTTCACCGCAATGATCTCGTGAGCGAAGGCAATGCTTGTGCCCCAATGCTGTACCTGCAGCTGCTCCTGGGAGCGATACGAAGTCACTTGGGTCGCCGCCTTGTCCTTGTCTCCATCAAATACCGTTCGAAACAGTACGCCCGAGCCAGCCTCACAAACATAGGCTCGAGCAACTGGAATATCAGAATTTGGCAATCGACCCGATTTCTTCGACCGTCTTGCTGCTATTCGTAGCTATTGTCAGTCGTGACCGTGGCAGAACACTCTCTTGTGAGTTCATCTCCAGTACTCGATATCCGAAATTTACAAGTGAATTTACTAAACATGTGCGACATTGAATTCGTGCTCGCGTAGCTTATCATAAAGGGAGATACTTGCCGCTTCTTGAGCCCCACCGCTCCGTCTTTGCCAAACATCTTACAATCAGTGTCATCGCCCTTGCTTTTGCTGCTGTTGAGGCTGTCAGCATTTGCCGATGTTGTCCGCAGCCTCATCAGTATACAAAGCAGTTGTATGTGGTTTCTCCATGGCTTCTCTTGCTTCAGCGGATGTTAAAACTACAGCATCTGTCTTGATTCAGCCTGTAAAATGACTTACGGTGATATAAGAGCGTGACGTGCATACCTGAAGTGTGTAAACGTTACAAACACTGATGAGAGCCGACAAACCTGTATGGCCTCATAAATCACCATTCGGCTTGATAGCAGAGAGCGCACTCTTGCCGCTTCTGCATCTAATATGCCTCGTTGCCATAGATGTGACTGATGTCGCGATAGGGCTGTCGGTGCCAGTGTCGTCCAAGTCGACGCTATAGTCAGATCTACGGTATTGTCAACATGTCAGATATGTTTTAAATTAGCCCTAATAGCCTAAAATTCGTGGCGACGTACAGACTCCGGTCGTTTACTTGGGCAAAGAAGCGTAGTAACATCATGGCAAGTGTACGGCGGCCAGTGATACGAATGAACCTCATTATGCATCAAGCGCTCACAATAATAACAACTTATTCCGGGATACACGCAAAAAGTGCTCAAAAAGCTACCCACTAAATTATCGAACACCTGTTCCATTCTGTTTATGATGTAGATAGGCTTCTAATCATGATCACGATTGATGATAAAAAGCAGTAAAATACTTTAAATGAACAGTATACATGAAATGTAGCAATCATTAGCAATAACGCATAAAATAGCATCGAACATCTGATAACATCAAATCGTGATATTTGCATGATCAATGCGAATAAAGCGGTTTATTGATAATATGGTCAGCATAAACATGATGAATTATTCATTTTAATGTCGCCATTACCCGATTGCACTCCATAACCTGCTGACGCTTTCAAGTGCAATGCATCCAGAGTTGTTAGCAACAATCTTTGTGCAACATCACCGTGCACAACAGACCCAGGTTGACATGAAAGGCCTCATTGTGTGGCGCTTGCATTTTTCCGTAGTCGCGACAGTGCATGTTAAGATTTCTTTTCGCGTTCAGTATTAAGATACATAGCCAGGCGTAAAAGACATATTGTCAGCTTCTAAGCCGTGAACACCCTTACTGTAACGGGGCAGCACGTTACATGAAATTGTCATTTAGAAGAAAATGACAATAAAGAATATCACGTTGAATATTCATTCAACAATATCACTAAATATAGTGATAATGTTGAGATGACCGAAGGATCTACTCTTTGGATGATATCGTGATGATATCGACTCACCAATCGCTTCTAGACGCGCGAAATGGGTGGTGAGTAGACGTCATCATACATTTAGTTATATTTAGAAAACTAAGTCAGGACGAACAGAGAAACAAGAGTTATAGGACTTAATTATATTGATGAGAGTTTTACTTTTACCACAACTAGAGTCTTCACCTTAGTCGTTCTTACCTTCCTCCGTGTGGTTCTACACCTAGCTGGGAACTGACCTTCACTGCTGTCAGTGATAGTTTGCTTCGTACTGGTTGACCAGTACGTAGTCGTCGGTATCCCTATACACCTGGTAGCACTATGTAGTCCGTCCAAGTACCACAATCGCATCGCCCAACATAAAAATGTTGGACGAAGTGAAGGTGACATATTTCACGGAATTTGTGAAAGCTACTCTATTTGAGTGATATCGATTGGAGTGCAATCGAACGAATGGAGTGCGATTGAACGAATGAGCTCGACCATTAACGAAGAAGCTATCTGGTCCATTCTATCCACAAGGGATGATGATCATCAGAATATCGTCATCAGCAAGTTCTCGCAACGACTTGATGATTCGCGAGCGCAGTTACCCTTGTTGCAACAACAACATCACCAGCGGACTGAAACACTGAGACAGTCTCAGTCCGCAGGGTCGACGCGTGAGCGTCGACCGGAATCTTTAAACCTAGAGATCTTCAATTGTCGGGGGGGTCAATGAAGACTCCATGCTGAGATAATTCGTTAAGGTAGACTATTCCATCGAAGCCCATCGCATCGATGATGAGTGAATGCAAGTCGCATTTGCTCAGTCGCAATTGGCAGGATACGCCAGAAATTGGGCCCTGGACCTCCCGTTAAACTACCCAAACGTGTTTGGGTCGTTAAACATCTTCAAGACCCTGCTCAGCGAAACGTTTTAGCCGCCCAGGGCAGAGTTCATAAGTCTTTCAGATCTCCTGGAGATTAAAGAGGGTAAGCTTAAGGCTCCACTTACTCTCAACACGTGCACAACCTTGCAAGTTGCATGGTTTTGAACCCTGTGAGTGAATTTGTGTTGATCACAATCTTTATTCAAGAACTTTCAGATGGCCTCGTCAGGTACCACCTTTTTCGCGGATAGCTGAAGTCGCTCCCAGAAGCAATCTACGCTGCGGAGCAGAAAGATTTTTTGTGAGACAGGCCCACACTACGCTGACCCCCTAAAGTCGAATAGACGACCGGCGGTCGAAGATCCAGGGCCAATGGACCTCTGTTATGTCGAGGGCGAGAAACCTCGCCGTGCTAACGACAAGCGATTGGTGCGATGCCATCGCTATCACGAGCTGACACACTACGCATATGAATGCGGTATCCCTCTCTAAGAACCTCGTGGAATAAGCGTAGTGACCTTCCACCAGCCAGACGAACTGAAGGACGAGGGTCCGAAGCTGTTTCAAAGACACGAGAGCGAGGCAAAATATCAACAAATGGACGGGGTCAGTAGGGCGAAGCGCCCTACTGATCCAGCAACATCAAAACAATTTGCAAATCGCTTGACGAAGGTTGCTCCTGATATCTAGTGTCTTCGTGTCTCTGCATATGGTGAGGAGTTGTCCCTCATCACCTTGCGTTGGAGGAGAAAAAGTAGTTGTCACTTTGCGCCCTAGATGACTGTGGGGCGTCGAACAATTTTGTTCGTAACCAGTCACTATAGGTCGGAAGTTTTAACTTCGTGGAGTGGGACACCTTTCCAACGAGAATGACGGTACGCATAGTGACAGGCGCATCGATTAATGTGAAGAAACGTGTAGCCGGAATCTACAACACGTTGAAAGACGAGCAGTACGATGATGATTTCATCGTACTCGATCTGGATGACAAGTTTGATGTCATCCTAGGACTACCTTGGCTCAAAAGATACGAGCCAAGGGTGAGCTGGAAGCATCAATCAGTAACGATGACTGTCGCTTGTTCATCAGACGACCATCTCATGAACATCTTTGAGCGTCCACAAGCGTGTGGATGTTCTGCGAGTGAGTGCGATGGCCTCACTCGTGGTACGATCGTTAGCACGACTGTACAAGACCGCAATGTAGATGTAATTTCCCAAAGTAATCGTGACATTGGATGTCTTGGACAATGACGGATCAAGAGTAGGCGATTACACGCTTGATCAGGTTCCGCCTCCGAAGTTAACGACGGATATAACTCATTTGCCAACGTTAAAACCAAAATTGTTCTTACATGATCTGCGTAGTGGCAAAATTAAGCATATCCTTGTACTCTCCGCGGAGGAAGAGTACGTCACCGATATTCTATCGGCGATGGTTTTTGATGAGAACGAAAGGGTTCTCATCATCCCATCGATGGACAAAAGTGTCCTCGATGAGAAGACTCGGATTGAGCGATACACGTCTCAATCCTGGGAGTCACTTCAGGCAAATCCTTTGTATAAGGATTTGATCGAATTCAGGGATGTGTTCCCTGAATCCTTACCTTGCGAGTTGCCTAAGGACAAAGGCACTCGACACGAGATCGAGCTCAAACCGGGCTCGAAGTACTGTGTCATGAGGCAGTGGCCACTGCCTCGTGAACAAGTACTAGCGATCGACAAGTTCTTTGCCGATCGCTTAGCAGCGGGCCATGTGAGGGAATCAACATCCCCTCATAGCTTTGAACTTCTGTGTGCGAAAGGCCACAGGAGGGTGGCGGATAGTGAACGCATTTAACAAGTTGAATGCTGGAATGGTACCGGCTCAGACGCCGATACCGAGGAAGGACGTAATTATAGATGGTATGTCAAAGAGTACCATCTTTTCGTCCATGG